ATATTTGGCCAGAAATCCACAGTGGAACCTCAAACAAACAAAAAACATTTAGTGTCTTAGATAAATATTTCAGAAAAGATACCTTTGTATTTGAGATAAAAATAGTAAAACCAGATGCTCTTGTTATATTTGCAGTGTTTTTCAATCAATCTAATAACTTTGATTCGCAAAGCCCTTAAAGGATTGGTGAGTATGTTTAGCTTTTTGATATTTGCTTTTTCTTTCAGAAGGTTTTTGCGTTTCTTTTAGCCTGTATTTAAGTAAGTTTTTGATGTTTTTATAGTAACTTGTATATAAATGCACATATTTGAAATGATGGAAAATATTTGAAAATTACAGTTTTCCCATCTAAAGAATAAATGCTGTACTGTCTTGAGAAGCAGGATAACCCAGTTAGAAAGAAAGCTCACAGGTAGGCAGTACTGGATGAAATTGAGAGAAGGTACAATTCTCTTTTTTTTTTTGATGGTCCACGTCTTCCCTTTTTTCTTTTTTTTTTTTTTTTTCTTTTTTGGATCTTTCTCATAACAGGGATGCTCTGCTCTGCCCTCAGTTTCCCTTTTCCCTCCCCAAATTCCTTACTCCAGAAATGGTTTGTTAAAATAGATTTAGCCTAAGCTATTACCAAATCCTACCAGAGAGTTGCTTTTAAATTAGCAATGGAAGATTTAAGTCAAAGGAAGGAATCTACTGGAATTCTAGGCATCTAGGAGGTAGACGGTGTAACTTGTGTCTCTGTGGGAATTCTGATATTCTACCATATAGATATACACCAGGGTTGGAACCAGAAAACCTGATTTTAAGTCCCGTATGTTGTAAAACCACTTCTCGCTTTGCAATTTTGAATTTTATTCTTAGCAAACTGTACAGAAGCTTATATTGTTAAAGTTAAGAACTGGGACTTGGCTTCACCAGCATTTCTCTTCAAAACTAGAAGTACATGAAATATAATTTTCTACATCTCTGTTACTGAATCTCTGTTACATCACTGAATTCTTAGAAAATCTAGCAAGGCTCTAGAGAAAACAACCTAAGGTATACACCTTATGATATTTTTCTGCAGACAGCTGGATTCTGACTTTTTTGGGGGTTTTGGATAGGGGAGGAGAGTGTAGGTAAGAAAACCAGAATGGTACAGGTCCTGTTATTCTTTTGAACACATTTTTCTTCTCAGTTTCTCCAGAAATGTTTGGACTATTTCACTTAAGAACTGTTGTATTAAATTTGTTTTTTTTTTTTTTAAGTTATTCTTCAAGGCCTTCAAATTGGCTGTGAGTTTATTCAGCCTTCCTTCCTTTTTTATGTGTGGAAATTATCAGCATGCTTCTACTAGTTCAGTCGTTGTGAAATTTCTAGTAGACAGACTACCCCCCTCTCCTCTCTTGTGGCTTTTTTTTTTTTTTTTTTTTTTGAGACGGAGTTTCGCTCTTGTTACCCAGGCTGGAGTGCAATGGCGCGATCTCGGCTCACCGCAACCTCCACCTCCTGGGTTCAGACAATTCTCCTGCCTCAGCCTCCTTAGTAGCTGGGATTACAGGCACGCGCCACCATGCCCAGCTAATTTTTTGTATTTTTAGTAGAGACGGGGTTTCATCATGTTGACCAAGATGGTCTCGATCTGTTGACCTCGTGATCCACCCGCCTCGGCCTCCTCTTGTGGCTTTTAAACTCACTTTTATATTAAAAGGAAGGTGTTCTGAATTTCTGACCTTTCCTCAGTCTGTTAACACCATTCAACTGTTCGCCCTCATTTCTGGATATGTTCAATCAGGAACCCAGCTCACCTCCGGCCACTTCCTCCGCTAATTCTTACATTGTTACTTTCTATCCCATGGGTATCATGGGATATCAGAGTGTTAAATATTTGGGACTGGAAGGAAAGAGTGAAAGGAGCTGATGTTTCCTGAGCACCTACACAGCACTGGATCCTGTGCAGGGCTGTTACGTGATCTCATTCTTAATAGAAATCTTCTAGAGTAGGCATAATACCTGGACTACAGATTAGGAAGATGCGACTCAAGAGACTTGTACAACATCCTGCATCACTTGGTTTGTGTTAGATCCGGAAGGGGACCCAGATGTTTTGATTGACTTAAAATCTCTGTTCCTTCTTTCTTCATCTGTGGTTTCTCGCCTACCTTCCCCACATTAGTGGCTTATGATGAAAAATGGTAAATGAACTAATAAAATGGTCAAAAATAAAAACCGCAAGGTAAAGAAAACAGGAGGTTATAACAGGAATTATAAGAAGGAATTTACTCTGAGTGTCCAGAAAAAAGTGCAAAGCTTTTAAATATATTTTTGTTTTTCTAATTGTGGATATTAATGATTCAAGCAATGCTTTCTATTAGCTCTTGCTGTTCATTAGACTGGTTTGAGGAGTGACAGATGAACAGGTCTCCTTAGGTTACAGGACCAACTGCATTAGGAATATGGGCTACCTGGCATCTTGGGTGCTTCACAGTGAGCAAAGGGAGTTGAAGAAACAAGAGCTGGCAGAGAATCTCCTTGCTGACTTGCCCCATGCTTTCCTATACTCCGATGTGGGTTAATGGATGATCCTAAGTATAGACATATGTGCTGATTCTTTGGAAAGGCTCTTCCACAGGGAGGAAGTGGATTCAGAAGTGCTTGGTAATAGCTGGAGATACCCCCGCTTTACCCCTACTCTATCTTGGTCTCCTACATTTTTCTTACTATTTCATCTGTTTCTTCTCCCTATAACCTAGAAAAAACAATAGGTACCAGGAGACCTGATTCTACCCTCAATGCATCCATTTAGCAACGTGTGACCTTGGGCATCTTTTTTTCTTAGAACCTTATATTTACCCAAATGTATATTTGGAATGGTAATTTTTGCCCATCTCTGCCCTGCTATACTGTGACCTGCTCCACAAGGATGGTGTGACAATCATCCAGAAACTGTACAAAGAGCAGTTCGGTAACCTGAAGTTATGTATATGATATATGTATGATATATATACCATGCAGATCTATAATTGTGAGTACTTGATAAGGGCTAAAGAGAAAAGTCAGTTCCCTCCTACATTAAAGGCGGTGATTGTAAAATACACCTGAATTGTTTTTTTGTTTTTCTTTGAGATGGAGTTTCGCTCTTGTTACCCAGGCTGGAGTGCAATGGCACGATCTCCGCTCACCGCAACCTCTGCCTCCTGGGTTCAGGCAATTCTCCTGCGTCAGCCTCCTGAGTAGCTGGGATTACAGGCACGCACCACCATGCCCAGCTAATTTTTTGTATTTTTAGTAGAGACGGGGTTTCACCATGTTGACCAGGATGGTCTCGATCTTTTGACCTCGTGATCCACCCACCTTGGCCTCCCAAAGTGCTGGGATTACAGGCGTGAGCCACTGCACCTGGCCACACCTGAACTGTTAATTGTACAATAATTGACATGCTAATTTGTACACATTCAAATAGAGCAAATTGTTTGCATTCATCTAGCTGTGGCTCTTCATTGACATGGAAGGAGCCATTCCTGTTTTCATGTAATTCTGGAGAATGCAGAGTGGCAGCTTCAAAGACTGTCTCTACCATTGTAGCACTTAAGTACTAGAGCCATTTTTAAAATTATTTTTTCAAATATTATGATGCCATATATGCTTGGAACCTGGGTCCACTTACAGAGCCTCCAAAATTTGAATTTTATATATATATGCAAAGAAAACTGAAAGAAAAAATTTATCCCCCCTCTAATGTAAATATGGCTGTGACGGGGAGAAGGTAAATAGGAATGAAATGTTCCATTTTGTTTGAGAGTTGTTAAAGTGGAGTTTTCCCATACCAGACTAGAAACTTGCTTAAAGTCCAGTCTTCATTCTGTGGTCACAATAATTCAATGTAGAAGCTGCATAGTCTGTAAATTTCTTCCTCACCTTCTCTTTTTCAGTTCTCATCATAGCCATACAAGGTAGGATGGATTATTATCTCCCTTGCATCTACTTCTCTATGAGTGGCTCAAAGATGGGGACCATGTCTTAAGTTTTATTAACTCTTAACATCTGACTCATGCAGCAAGTGTAAATGTATGTAGTTTATATAGTTTTCTTGTGAGAAAACAAAGGCCGGGATGTTAAGTAGCTTGTAGGTGCATCTGTAGCATCCTAATATACACCGGAGGAAGGCTTCAGCTCTGACTTTGTAACTCTCATTGTCGTACACTTCACCAGTTCTCATATTAAAATAAAACACCAGGAATGACAGTTGAAGTTGGGACTATTATCTGTAAGATATGACAAACCAGTTCTAGTAACTTTCCAAATTGAAGGTCAAATGCTGAAGGGAAAACTGTTCGGCTTTTATTTTGCTTTGTTCTTTTCATTTCTCCCAGGAGACTTATGGAATGTCAATAGAATGGTTATTAGGGCCTCACTGCTCCCTGTAGAAATGCTTTTGACATTTTGGTGGGTTCTCTCATACATCATGAGCATCCCTGTTGAAAATGCATGTTTCCGAGTAGGGGCCTCTGCATGACTGCAGGATGAGCTGCCAAATGCCCAGTTTGATGGACTTTGTGGTTATTTTCTGCATAACCCAAATGGAATATGCAGACAGCTATAAATGGAATACCTTAGCTGCATTTTGAGGGTGTCATATCCACGTTTTTCATCAGCCTTTGAGTCTTTGCTCAATTCTTTTTCCTAACTGGTTTTCAAACTTATTTGAGTTGAAGAGGAGAAGGGAATAGAAAAAACAATAGAAGGGAAAAAGGAGGCAATTATTTTCTTTTTCACAAAGGAGATGCTAAACCTTGCACTCTGCATTCAGGAAATATATGACTTGATATTCTTGCAACCAATTTCTCCCTATTCAGGAAACATTCTCAGACGGAAACAAAATTAACTTATTAGCATTAATCCTAGAAGAATATTTTCAAATGTTTGGTTTGGGGCCATGTTTTTAAACAGAGACCTGTTGAAAATCAATAGTCCCTACTCTTCAGTGTCCCACGCTCACCATCTTTCCATGTTTGTCTTCCTAGGACCTCAATACAGTCTCAATCTTCATACGGTAACAGCTCCCCACCTCTGAACAAAATGAACAGCATGAACAAGCTGCCTTCTGTGAGCCAGCTTATCAACCCTCAGCAGCGCAACGCCCTCACTCCTACAACCATTCCTGATGGCATGGGAGCCAACAGTAAGAGCATCTCCTTTTAATTGTAGCTGAAGGATGAACAGGCTAGCCTAGGGGAAGACTCTGTGATGGGGAAAGGCAGGTTCTTAAGCTAAGTGAGAAGCACAGTGGGACAGATCAGATCAAAGTGAAGTGGCTTGGGTTTCTGACAGTGAACCTTTCACTTTTGCGGTTTATTGCTCATTGCAAAATGCACTGGTAGAGAGAAAGAAGGATGTTTCCTTAGTAGGGATAAGGATTTCTGTGAAAAGAATGGTCTTCTTCTTGCTATCTTGGATGGAGATTCACCTCCTGCAACCTTTGAAATAGTTAAAAGAAAGTGGATGCAACATGCATAAAGTAAATGTTGTAGTGAACTTAAAGTCTAGATAAATAGACTGGGTGTGGCGGCTCATGCCTCTAATCCCAGCCCTTTGGGAGTCCAAGGCCTGGCCAACGTGGTGAAACCTCATCTCTACTAAAAATATAAAAATTGTCTGGGTTTGGTGGTTGATGTCTGTAATTCCAGCTACTCGGGAGGCTGAGGCAGGAGAATCTCTTGAACCCAGGAGGTGGAGGTTTCAGTGAGCTGAGATCATGCCACTGCACTCCAGCCTGGGCAGCAGAGTGAGACTCAGTCTCAAAAAAAAAAAAAAAAAAAAAAAAAAACAATCTAGAGAAGTAGATTATACCTTATCTGAACTCCATGAAAAAGAAAATACCTCTAATTACAAAGAGGTTACTTCTCTAATACTTAATTTTCTATCCATAAAATTATCACTTTATACACTTAACATTTTATGTCTGTGTCTCTATAATCCTGGCCTTTTAAACTCACCTATTCGATCCCAGACAGTCAGTAAGTAATTGACCTGCAGATGGGCCTCCCTTTTATTTATCCACACATGCATGCCTCATATCAGCTAGGTATAAATGAAAAAGGTACTGTAAGAATTGGACCTCCAAGGGGATGATGACTGGCATATAGTTTTACTATAAATAGAATTATCTTGTCCACTAGGACTAAATCTAGCAAAGTGGATACACAAACTTGAAGGGAAAAAAAGTGGTGATAAAAATGCAAAAGAATGTGTAACACCCTTGGGCATATGGAAGACTGAACATGGCATGGGTTTCATATAGTCCCTTCTACCTAAAAACAGTACCCTCAAGCTTATCTTTTGAAATCCTAATTATTTTGATCAAGTCTTTAAAAGTGCATTTCAGTGCTGTCTCTTCTGAAAGAAACTAGGGGAGGCTAGGATTGTGAGTTTCTGTGGTCTAGTGGCACACATTCACATTTTAATGAGATAGAGGTGTGTGCGTTCCGTATGGTTGCCCATTGTAGCGACATAGACTTTAGCGTGAGATCACTCTCTCACTAATGATAAATGCATCATTCAGCTTAAAACCTGACCCCTTGATAGGTATGCTTTGACGTAAAAAGAATAGAAACCACTTAATTTCGACTTTATTTTCTTTCTTGTAACATCTCAGAGTCCTCAAATTCCTTCTTGGGATGACAAAATTGTGATAATGGTGATGATGGTTCACATCTGTGTAACTAACAGTTTGCCTACTTTTGTTTTTCTTATTTGTACTTTACAATTATTTCAGAAGGGAAACACATTGAGATGTGTTAGGGTATGCTCTTTAGCTAGCTAGTTAATGGCAAAGACCTTTTCTGGGCATTCTGCTATTCACTAAAGTGTAAACAAATTATATTAGTCCTTTGTAGATTATTTTGTTCTTATTTGACGTGAAGACAAAATTTATTTCATAAAAATTGATATTAAGCTTTTCTCCTCTATCAATCAGTTAATGTTTACACCTTATGGTTTAGTAAAATATCAGTAAGTATTGGTGGTGTGTAGGGTCCAGCCCTACAGGGTTCTGTGAGCCCCTCCTGGCTGGTGCAGAGATGAGAAATTGTAGAAATAAAAAACACAAGACAGAGAGATAGAGAAAAGAGAGTTTTGGCCCAGGGGTCCCCTGCTACCCAGATCAAGGAGAGACCAGCAGTGGCCCAGAATATCGAGGAGGAGCCGCTCTCACTTTTATTGAGTTGCAAATCTGGGAGCAGGGTAGGTAGGGCTTGGCCTTGGCGGTCAGTGACTTGGGGCAGGGTAGATGGGGTATGGCAGTGATAGGGTCAAGTACATCTCGTGTCATTCAGGTAGGGGGCTCTGGAATTTCTGGCACCCGAAGTGAGGTAAGGAGCGTAATGCATCAACACCTTTTCCATACTTACCAAGAAAGAACTACATTAAGATTTATATTACTATTACTGATTACCTTTTCTAAGACAGAAGGAACCAGGTGCAGAAGCAGAACATAAGAGTAGACATGGAACGTGACCACTGGAGCACAGCATCACATAGAGACAGTTAAAGTCCCTGGATGTCTGCGGGCCTACCTGACAGCCGTCAGTCCTTGCCACAAGAGCTTGGAGAAGCGGAGTTTTCTCTAAACTTCCCCAGGAAGGAGATGTCCAAAATGGCCGAGATGTCTCCTTCCCTAGCTGTCTAAACAGCGGGCACTTTCACAGCGCTGGTGCTGCCACACTGCCGAGGTGCCCTCCAGCAGCCCTTATGTGGGCATGACAGAGGGCTTAGAGCATCTTGCCTTAGTGTCATTCATTTCACAATGTCACCCCAGGTTCACATTTCCGACCTGAGAGGCATTAGTAACAGAATTAAGATCGCCTATGAATAACTAAGATCACATGTGAATAACTAATAACTACTAGAGTTACATTTCTAATGACTTTCTTCTTCATGATTTATATGGAAATAGGCTGACGCCTTTTGCTCCTGCCTTGGTGCTTATGGGATCTCCCCGCTATAGTGGTGTTCCTATATGTAACCCTGAAAATGGGCCATAAGTAATATTTAATTGTATTCTTATTTATTAGGAACATGAGTCCTTATAAATATTGAAGTAAGTCTTCCTATACCCAAATAAATATTTCAAGGGTCACTCTTTCATTCACAGATTTCTGCGTTTATTCACTTAACCTAAGTTTACTGAGCACCGACTCTGTGCCAGGCACTGTAGGTATCTAGACACATATAAGATCCAATCTCTATGCTTGCACAGATTAGTGAGGGAGACAGAAATATAACCCTCGAAGGCAAATACAAGGAAGAATATATTAACATTAAGGGCAATTAGCAATTAGAGAATTCGAAGTAGAGAAATGGGGGAAAAGAGATTGTTCTACGAGAAGGTGCAGAAGTCAAGAGGTACCTAATTAGTTTGGAGTCTAACCATTCTGTTTGACTAAATGTAGGCTGCTCGAAGGAGCGTAGTGAGAGAGAAGATTAAAGAGGAAGGCTGGTAGTTTAAGCCCTTGATAACATTTAGCCAAACAAGATGGACCACTGGGATGCTGGTACATGATGATGGCAGTAACCCTTTTGTTCCTCCTGCTTCTGTTCAGTTCCCATGATGGGCACCCACATGCCAATGACTGGAGACATGAATGGACTCAGCCCCACCCAGGCACTCCCTCCCCCACTCTCCATGCCATCCACCTCCCACTGCACCCCCCCACCTCCATATCCCACAGATTGCAGCATTGTCAGGTGAGTCCACAGCACGTGCCCCTGGGGGCCTGCCTGTCCTAAGCATCCCGGGATGGTGGAGGGTGGATACTGTCATAATCCATAAAATAGTTGGAAGGAGAGACAGCAGTCCTATGGTTGGAGTTCAGTCACTTTATCTCTGATATGTGGAGTGGTCAACATTGTTTTATCAAGGAAAACCAATCAGCATGGGAACAATTGAAAATGTGTGTTTATAGGCATGTTGTTTTCATGTCTGTTTCCCTCATCTTCACTTACTCACTTCCTCCTCGCTCACATTTTTACATTGTCAGTTGCGGCCCTCAAGTTGGTGCTCAGGGCTGGGTTTCCAAAATGGCAATAAACTTGCTATCTTGCTCCTTTTCCTTTCTCTAATCCTCATAGCTCTCAGCCACCATGGGACCATTATTTTGGAGTTGGATGTCCATAAAAAGTTTTAATGTTTTCCAAAATGACAGGAGCTTTCGAAACTGATGGCCTTTACTACTCTGCACTCTAGGAAAGGGGAGTTCAGATAGGCAGAACAAATGCATGAAGTCTGAAAGATTTGCTTCCCATAGAGGCAAGAGTGGGTTCCCAGATTTCTTGCCTAGTGCGTATCTTCTGCTTCATGTGCAGAATGATTGTTTCATTTGGCTACTGGAATGGTTTGTGTTGATTTCCCTGATGTATCAATCACAGGGATGGCAAAGCGTGTGGCTCATGCCACCCAGGGTCTGTCCCGTGATGATGGTGACATCATTAGTCTCAGACCAGCACCAAAAGGAAGGGGCTTTGTATCCTGAGGACAACATAAATCAAAAGGCATGAAAGACTTCATGAAGTCAAGGCTTACAATTTTTTTCTTAACCACATGAAACCATTCTCGCCAAGCCCAGATACAAAATAAAGTAAAGATGTTGTTTTTTTGAAGTGAAGAGCCAAGAGGCAAGAAGGTTAGGAACCTGAACACTGGACTTTTCCCTTTCACCCTTTGCAATGGTTCCTAGGACACTTACATAAGAACCCTAGAATTCCGCGGATCACCATATGATAATCGTTGATCTGCAGGAATCCTTGTAATTGATTTTAATTTCTATACACCTAAACTTCATGTCACCAATAATCTCCAGACCTCAGACTTAAGGCCCACATATATCTTATCCACTCCTAATCTCTGATGTAGGGCATCCAAGGGCAAAATGTTGGGTTTTCCCTTATCTCGCCAATGCAGTTGGGGTGAACTTTTTCTGTTTCCTCCTTCCTCTTCCCTCCTCCCACTGCAGTTTCTTAGCGAGGTTGGGCTGTTCATCATGTCTGGACTATTTCACGACCCAGGGGCTGACCACCATCTATCAGATTGAGCATTACTCCATGGATGTAAGTAACTGTTAGACTTTTCTCAAGTTTTATTTCTTCATTTCTTTCCTCTGATAACAACCGCCTTGTAGTTCAATCCCTGCTAGTTTTAAAATTTGTTTTTGTCCTGCCCCAATCATCAATTTCGATGGAACCCACAACCATGTTAGAGAGATGACCAGGCCTCCGCCTATACATATTAGAAGCTTAGCAACCAATCTTCCTCAGCTTGTCTGATCGGCCAACTATTGACTATTTCACCTACACTATGTGCAAGGTGGGAAAGAGGTGCTATTCCCACAATAAAAAAATTTATAATTTCTAAAGAATTAATACAACTTTTTGAATGTTCTCATTAATTAATTTTTAAAAGTTCCCAGGAAGTATAGCAGGGCACCAGTGGTGTTATTCTCTTAAAAACATGGAGAGATGGCCGGGCGCGGTGGCTCAAGCCTGTAATCCCAGCACTTTGGGAGGCCGAGGCGGGTGGATCACGAGGTCAAGAGATCGAGACCATCCTGGTCAACATGGTGAAACCCCGTCTCTACTAAAAATACAAAAAATTAGCTGGGCATGGTGGCGCGTGCCTGTAATCCCACCTACTTGGGAGGCTGAGGCAGGAGAATTGCCTGAACCCAGGAGGCGGAGGTAGCGGTGAGCCAAGATCACGCCATTGCACTCCAGCCTGGGTAATGAGAGCAAAACTCCGTCTCAAAAAAAAAAAAAAAAAACATGGAGAGATGACACAATAGTCATTTGGCATGACTATTAACGATAAAACCAGAAATAGAACCCAAAGGTCTAAGCTTATAGTCTTTAACTCATTAACTGACCTTTTCTGCCTTTCTTTAAATTACTACCTTAAGGGAGATTCAGCTCATCTTAACAATTAAAACTATATGTTCTTTTATTAATTTTTAATTTAATCATAATGGGGCACAGCCGTTTCTAATCATTGACCACTGATAATGGCCAGTGATTAGAAACAGCTGTGCCTTATGATTAAATTGAAAATTCTAATCATGGAAATTGAAAATTCCAATCATGGAAATTGAAAATTCAAATCCCAGTCATGCTTTTTAGTAGCAATGAGAACTTGGGGTTATCACTTTGCCTCTCTGGGCCTCAGTTAATAAAATATTGGGTTCAAATGACTCCTTTCTGGCTTTCATATCCTTTGATTTGTCTTGCTGGGTGAGAGGGGACTTTTTCTTGCTTCCTACTCCACTTTTTGAACTACTGCTCACACGGGAGCTAGTGTTGCTCTGGTTTATGGCAATCTGATTTGTCTCTCAGGCCGCTGTGCATGCTGCTCTCTTTGGGGTTCACTAGCCTCTCTTCTGGCTTCCAGAGGGTACTTTGGACTGATGGAAGAAGACAGTCTCTGCCTCTGCTGCTACTTCTGTTGTTGGGGCCTCTTTCTTCCCCCTCCTTGAGCACCGATGCTAGAGATGCCCCTGCAGCGTGAGAATACCCCCACCCTGAGCTGACATGTATATAGCGTACTGCCTCTATGCCCACCCTTCTCCACCCCTGGCTGCTGCTCCCTGATAGATTAAGTTATAAGTGAAAACTGCAGGGAGAGTTTTAAGGGTAAGTTCCAATATGATTCTGATAACTTTACAATCATTTCCACCCACTGAAGAGACCAGAGTTGCCCTGTATTTGAGAGAGCCTCTTTTAGTCCAGTCCTATATTTTGGAACAGAGAATCTTCCTCTTCCTTATATGTTTAAAGTTATACTTCCCAGTTGCTCACTTATTTCCACTGTAGAATGTGTCAGGATGCTTGCTTATTAGGATCTGCAGATGCCCTCTATAAGTTCATTTCTGTAAGTCCTCTGCCAGTCCGTGGGCCACAGCTTTCTCACCTGTCAGTCATTAGTTAAAATCTATCCAGGGTATCATGAAAATCAACGGAGCCTAATTTACAAAGAATTTTCCATGTACTGAGATCCTCAAAAGTATAAAGAATCCAAGAAATATAAAAAGCTATGCTTATCTATTTGTGGATTACCTTATTTATAATGTATTCTTCTGCTATAGTAAGAGTTTGGGAATACCTCTAATGGCCTGAAAATTCACACCATAGGAAACCATGACACCAAATGGTAAATTTCCAAATTGAGAAATGTTGGGAAGCTGTGCAATTTTCTCCTCCTCACCTCAGCTTCCTTTTGCATGTTTCTAGAAAGTGACACCTTTTTCTTGGCTTTTCACATAGAGCCAGTCTAAGTTACTGGGCATCATCACTTTCTGAAAGAGGAATGTGATTAAATTTGGGGAATTTCATTAGTGTTCCCATAACATGCAAAGATGAGTTAATAATACAGCATCATAATAATACAAATGGTTGATATTCACATCGACTGGGTTGTAATTTACAAAATACTTTCATAGCTATATTCATCTGTGAGTCTATAGCATGTTTTGCCCTATAAAGCAATCATATCTTACTTTACCAAGGAAGAAACTGAGGCTGGTAAAGAATGAGTGACTTGCTAACATTCCATAGCCACTCAGTGACAATGAAAACCTCTACCATGGTTTTCTGACTCCAAGCACAATGTGCTGTGTACCTACCATTCTGCCGCCTGAAAATATGAGCTATCACAGAAACATTCTAAAGAAGAGCAAATGCAGATAAATGGGAGCAACATCACCACAGTTAATTAAGGTTGACCCTATTTGTAATGCCTTCTGCACCCTTTCATAGAACATAGACACAATCGCTTTGCATTTTGATACTTTGCTTTATTCAAACACCATGAGACCTTTGATAATAGGACCACTTCAGGTTCAGAGGATGCCCTAAGTCCCTAATGTTTTCACTTAGTTGTGTGACTTTAAACTTGTCAACCTCTCTGGCCTTCAGTTATTCTATCTACAAAACAGGTCTAATAATATTTACTACTAATCTGAGGATTAAATGATATCATGATTATAAAATAATTAATTCAGTGCCTGCCACATAGAAAGTACTCAATCTTTTCTTATCTCCTCAGCCAAGTGGTGGTAACATTCCATTGATACCTTTCTTCTAGTGACTAGCCAGGAAAATTTAAGCATAAGTAGGTACCTCATGTTTCTATTTGGGATTTTTGCCCCCTCATCTAGCTATTATCCCACTTTTACCAATGAAAAAACTGAGGCTGGTAGAGACTAAGTGAAGAGTTATACACAGGCAGGAATGACACCTCAACCCTCTGCCTTTGTGCTTAGTTACATAGTGTTGAAGACTATCAGAGAGCTAATTTTATTTTCTAATTTGTGGATCAATAGATTCAGATCAATTAAACCAGAGCATCAGGGAATGATAACATGCTATGCACTAAATGTTAGTTTTTCTCCTTGTTTTCATTCCCCATGATACCTTCCCCTATTGCACAGGATTTGGCAAGTCTAAAAATCCCTGAGCAGTTTCGACATGCAATCTGGAAGGGGATCCTGGACCACCGGCAGCTCCACGAATTCTCCTCACCTTCTCATCTCCTGCGGACCCCAAGCAGTGCCTCTACCGTCAGTGTGGGCTCCAGTGAGACCCGGGGTGAGCGTGTTATTGATGCTGTGCGATTCACCCTCCGCCAGACCATCTCCTTCCCACCCCGAGATGAGTGGAATGACTTCAACTTTGACTTGGATGCTCGTCGCAACAAACAACAGCGCATCAAAGAGGAGGGGGAGTGAGGCTCGCCAAGTGAGCTCTTCTTATCTCTTTCCCACCTGCTTACCCCCTACAAAGCACTCCTGCTTAATCTTCAAAGCATTCTCCCTAGCGCCTCCCCTTCCTCTTCTGTCTGATTTCCTAGGGGAAGGAGAAGTAAGAGGCTTCCTCTTACCTAACATCTAACCTGGCATCTAATTCTGATTCTGGCTTTAAGCCTTCAAAACTATAGCTTGCACGACTGTAGCTGCCATGGCTAGATAGAAGTGAGCAAAAAAAAAAAAAAAAAAAAAAAAAAAAAGAGTTTGGTGTCTCCTTAAGCTGCAGAGATTTCTCATTGACTTTTATAAAGCATGTTCACCCTTATAGTCTAAGACTATATATATAAATATATAAATATACAGTATAGATTTTTGGGTGGGGGGCATTGAGTATTGTTTAAAATGTAATTTAAATGAAAGAAAATTGAGTTGCACTTATTGACCATTTCTTAATTTACTTGTTTTGGATGGCTTGTCTATACCCTTTCTCTTAAGGGGTAGCATGTATGGTGATAGGTATCTAGAGCTTAATGCTACATATGAGTGACAATGATGTACAGGTCCTTTTAGTTTTTTGGATTCTAAATACACGCCACATCAAACCTTTGAGCGGAACTATTTCCATTGTTTATTATGTGGGTAAGACTGTATATATATGTATTCTTTTCTCAATGTCGGTATGTTTTATACTACTGACATTTCTTCTAGTGATGATGGTTCATCTTCGGGTTGTTTAATCCAGTTATAAGAAAAAAGTTCATGTTCAAACATCCTCTTTTTTGTTTGGGAATGAGGAAAATTCCTAAAAGGCCCATGGCAGCCAGTTAAAAAAAAAAACCTGATGGCATGTATTTGAGTATATCAGTAACCCCCTTAGATTTAATGCAGGATACCTTATCTTACAATATTTATTGGAAAAACATTTGCTGCCATTACAAAGGTATTAAAACTAAATTTTACTACTAGACTGACTATCCTAAATAACATTGGCTACTGTTGTAAGAATTCAGATTGATGTGATGGGACGAATGCCATCTATCTAGTTCTAACAGTGAAGTTGTACTGTTTATTAATATTCAGGGTAAAATAGGAATCATTCAGAAATGTTGAATCTGTACTAAATAGTAAGATATCTCAATGAACCATGAATTCAAGTTTGTAAAACTCTTCTGAAGCACAGATAAAATTATTTGGTAAATGTTTCTTTTAAAGACCCTCCTATTCTATAAAACTCTGCATGTAGAGGCTTGTTGGCCTTTATGCCTTTAAGCTTTACAATAGGAATGGTGATTTGGAAATATAAAATTGTGAGATTTGTTTTCCTGTGGCACAAATTGCATCACTGTATCATTTTATTTTTTAACCAGAAAGAGTTTCAGTTTGTTGGAAAGTAACTGTGAGAACCCACTTTCCCGTCCGTCTCCCGTAGGAACTATCTGTAGACATGCAAAGGTCCCCAAGGAGTAAGGGATAAGTCTTTCATAGATGCTGTTCCTTAAACCATTTAAAGAGTTGCCTTGAGACTTTGGGAAAATGTATAAATGATGATATGCCTCATAGATCTTTCAGAAATATAACACATATTTTGCATACAGACTAATGAGCTCTGAAATCTTCCCATGCATTCTGGTCAAGGGCTGTCATTGAACATATGCTTCCATTTTTATTTTAAAGTGCAAAAGGGCTTATGTGGCTCTAAAATGTAATGTATGGGTTGCCTCTGAAAAGTGTATATATATTTTGCGTGAAATTGCATACTTTATATTTTCATTATTTTTTTTTCTTCTTGGGATAGTGGGATTTCCAGAACCACAGTTGAAACCTTTTTTTATTGTTTTTATATTTTCATGAAAATACCATTTAGTAAGAATACAATGTCAAATAAATAATGGTATAATATTAAGATGGGAGGGAAGGGAAAGTTGTTTTTTTCTATTATTTTTTTAAAATTTTGTATGTTAAAGAGAATGAGTCCTTGATTTCAAAGTTTTGTTGTACTTAAATGGTAATGAGCACTGTTAGCTTCTGGAACAAGCATGCAGCTTTGCAAATCCGTTAAGAGGAAGAATGAAAGCTGTGTCTTGGTAATATTAAGAAGACAAACTGCTTCCCTTACTTTGCTGAGGGTTTGAATAAACCTAGGACTTCTGACCTATCTCAGTACTATTCAGGTGACACTAGGGACTTGGAAATTCCTGTAGTGTGTCTCATGGATTTGGCACTAGCCAAAGCAAGGCACACTTACTGGCTTACCTCCTCATGGCCACTGACGCTCTTTGTGTGTATGAACAGCCAGGGTAAGGGGCAAAAGAATATTAAGTACAGAAACCACTGGAAGTGGGCTTAATGGAGTTCTGTGGTCTCAGCTCAATGTAGTTAGCTGAAGAATGAAAAAGTTTTGTTTGGAGATGTTTATAAACAGAAATGGAGAACAGAATTTTCATTAAATCCTTTTACCTTTTTTTTTCTTGGTATTGCCCTAAAAATTTAGTATGTGGGATATTGAATGTTAAAGGGATATGTTTTTTTATTATTTTTATAATTGTACAAAAATTAAGCAAATGTTAAAAGTTTTATATGCTTTATTAATGTTGTCAAAAGGCATTATACATGTGATACTTTTTTTTTAAGCTTCAGTTGCTTGTCTTTTGGTATTTTCTGTAATGGGCTTTTGGGGAGCCAGAAGCCAATATCTACAGCTCTTTATGTTTGCCAGGACATGCAATAAAATTAAAAAATAAATAAAAACTAATTAAGAAATTGTGTGTGTCATCTGTGTCTGTTTGCCTGTTTGTCCATTCTTTCATCCTTTGGCCTTATGTTATTGAGGAAGAAGGAGATACCAAGAGAAGCACTGGAGAGGTTCAAATACTGAGGTTTCTCACCTGAGAACAAATAATCATTCTTTTCTCATTTTAGCCAATCTACAAAACAGGAAAGACCAGAATGACATTTTCATTTTGTGAATGAGATAGTCAAAGTTTTAATACTTTATTCAATTGAGGTCAGAAAGAGTTTGCTTTAGAACGGGGACTAGACTTCAAATATTCCTAATGTCTAACTTAGTGACCTTCTGATGATACTCAGCAGTGACTTCCTCAGTACTGTGGGAGTGAAAAGGAGATTATCTGGTGGTATGTGGGCCCTGACTGGGTCATGTTCCCCTTCAATTATGTACATTTATTCAGCCAATATGATCTCTGTCAAAATGGTTTAATGATTCTTATTAAATAAGAAAGTATATTAATTTATGGGATAACATTGGATGACATGAAACAATATAATGCCATAGACTTATAAAAAAATTTTCCAGAATAACAAAAATATATAGTAAAGATATGTTTTTCTATTTATACATATAATCACATTATATAAAGATATTTTTTATATAGGCAAGCAGGTGCAGCTTAAATTAAAAGTACCAAAAGATTCCATTCTTAGTCTTTGCAATCTAGGTGATAGAGCCCCAGAAATGAAACAGTCGATTCAATGGTGTCAGTATGAGGAATATAAAAGCACCATAAAAATGATTAATCATTGATCTATCATTCTGGCTCTTTTGACAATGTTTTCTTAATTTTTTAAGTAGTTCTATCTATTTGTATAGATTGGTAGTTCATGACTTTATATTTAGATGTCTTCTGGAAGAAAAGAAAACCTTACTTTTAAAAAATGCATTTGCTTAGAATTATCAGGTCTATTAAACCTCTTTACAAATCCAAAATTCACTATGAAAACTTGGGGATTTGTGTTTTTCATGTCTTAATTGCTTTATTTTTATCAACTGTAATCAGCCAAAAAGGAAATTAAAAACCAAGAAGAATGGTAGGATTACCCAAAACTGTGCTGTCCAATATGGTAGCCACTAGCTACATGTAATTATTGAGCATGTGGGTGGAGCTAGTCAAAACTGAGATGTGTATGCAAAATACACATTAGATTTCAAGGACTTAGAATTGAAATAAAAATGTAAAATAGCTCATTGATAATTTTTTTAAATTAGATGTTGAAAGTTAAATATTTTCAGTTAAATATACTGAAATTATTTTTATCCATTTTTATTTTTATGTGCTTACTAGAAAATTTAAAATAATGTAAGTGGCTTGCATTGTAGTTCTATTGGGTAATTGGCTAGAAAGATGATGTAATAAGAAGCCTATAAGGATGAAGAAATAAATTTACTATTGTGCAATTCAGGTTTTTTTTCTCTCTCTCTGATGCTCATTAGTATAGCATCATCTTTCAACAAGGTATAGAGTAGAAGACAATATCTTTGTAGTCGGGATTTTTCATTTTCTCCCCATAGTAAATATATTTAAACTGATGGAGAAAAACATTTCAAAATTGTTATATCAGAATATAAATATAAAACACAATGACACTCTAGACTCTGATGGTGAAATTGCTTGCGTAAGTAAAATTTTAAACTGAGTTTTCAAGTAATGATATCCTGGATGAATTTTCTCAAGCACAAGGCTCAATGGCCAAGCAATACAATTTTAAAGATAAAAAAGTGTATATGCTTGCTCTACTCTAGATAGTTGTTCAACAGGAAGAATTTTACCATTTAAGGTTATACGACAACAATCTAGCTATCCAACAACAACAATCTAGCCATCCAATTTTCTAAAAGGACATGCAATAATATTATTTTAGTTCTAATGATTCTCTTGCATCAAAGTTTACTAATATGCTTCACAAGTGGACAAATCAAAGCTGCTGTGTATCAAAGGTAATTGGAAGAAAATAGACGACGTAAAAATTTAACTCATTGGATTAATCATTCGAATTGGTGTTCAATCTAAAAATATTTTGCAGTTTTGGAGCAAAGACCATAGTCATCCTCTCTTCAACAAAGGCACGAGCTATCAAGTATTCAAAAAAATAGTTGAAGTATTTTATTTTGATGATGTAAATGCAAGATAAACAATCTGAAGCGATGATGTTAGAACTTATCAGAAGTGTATTTGAAATCAGTATTTACAAGGTAACTATGTCCCAAATTGCATGATAGGTCGTGAGCGCTTATTTGCCTTCAGAAGATATTTTATATTTTATGTACTGTGTCACTGAAATCATTAACAAAATTTTAGATTTACTATGCTTACATTTGTATTAAAATTTCTTATACAATTGTTCTTCACCATATATTCTGTATTTTACTTAGAAAATTACAAAAATAAAAATATACAATTAATTAGACCCAGAATATATGGATAATGACTATTGTCCCGAAACTCTTTAGGATAATTTATCTAATATTAATTCTTGTAGAATGCCAAAAAAAAAAACACCTAATCTTCATTAAATACTCTCGAATGATCTAAAATTTGCACAGAATCTCTAAGACTTCCAGACCATATTCCTGCTTTTGGGTGTAGTTTCTGAATTATCTAAGAAGGTAGCCCAGGGTTTTTCCTTGGTACACTGATTTATTTTGTATTTCTAATAGCAAAATAAAAGTATGGAATAAAGGCCTGTATATACATGGTGGATATATATTGGAACCTTCCCAGTTCCAGGAAAGATACACTTAATCTTGAGTCAAGGCTTCCACAGACTGGCAGGAGGTAGTATTCATTACCTCTTTTGCCATTCTTTCTCTTTCATATACTGTAGTTCTCTTACTAAGTAAACTGCAATACAGGACACTCTCAGCCTTCAGTATGGATTTTCTAGCTTCCTCTTTGCACCCATAAAAACTTTAATGTCCATTATCATTCTTCTAAATTTGATTGACACTATGCCTTTTTCCCTGGTGCTTTAGACTCATTCCAGAAAACGTTCTGCAGATGTGTAGATTTCATGGAAATACGAAGAGGCAGAGTGAAGAGAACAGTGGACTGAGAGAAGTCTGGTGACTTGGGCCAGATGCTTAATCTTCTGCATTTCAGTTTCAACATCTGCCAAGTCAGAGAGATCTGAACCCCTAACTTGTCAGTATTTCAGTAATAACCTTTGGAAGACAGCTGAAGGATGGCATGGAAGAACTCCTCCAATATGGAAGTGGGGTTACAGTTTTAAGAAAAAGTTCTGCAGTCTAAGAGCTTTAGTCTTCACTAAATGCAGGCTAAAAGTAACAGGAATCTTGTTCTTTCTTTAGAAAGATTTTTCATAGAGCACTAACCGTACATATTTTTCTCAGATAAGAGTAGTTCATTAGTTTAACTTTGTGCTTTTAGTGTCACGTTGGGTGTGTCCTTGAAATTTATGAGATTTGTAACTCCTTACACTAATCCTGACTCTGTCTATGTGCCAGGTGGGTTGCAAGTACTGGCAGGCAAACATCCCCTTTGTGGTTCTGATTAGAATTCTAGGACTAGCACACTGGAGGACCAACCTTTTGCAATTCATGTAAAACTCTGACACAGGACAAAGGCCAAACATTTTTTCGCAGACAGAGCTTGCCATCAGAAACACCAGGCAGAAAATTCAGAATCCTGTGAGTGCTTTCACTCCTCTGACAGTTGTTCTATAATTGGAAACACTATTATTTTTCTGTGAAAGAAATTATGATGACTTTGAATATGGTTCAATATTCCTAAACTCTAGGTACTACCTTCTGTAAATTGATTACTCTGCTCTTCTGTTTTTTTTGTTTTTTGGTTTTGGTTTTTTTGTTTTTTTTTTTTCTGAGATGGTATCTTACTCTATCACCCAGGCTGGGTGGCACAATTATAGCTCACTTGCAGCCTCGAACACCTGGGCTCAAGCGATCCTCCTGCCTTAGCCTCTCAAGTAACTGGGACTACAGGTGGTGCACGCCACCACACCAGATAATTTATTTTAGTTTCCGTAGAGATGAGGTCTCACTATGTGGGCTAGGCTAGTCTGGAACTCCTGGCCTCGAGCAGTCCTCTTGCCTATGCCTCCCAAAATGCTGGGATTACAGGTAGGAGCCACTGCATCCAGCCTGCTCTTCCATATTTTAGCTAAGTTTACATCTGCTGTCTTCAATATTTCTCCAACTTATCAATATCTTCCCAATACATTTTTGTCTCACTAATGATTAAATAATTAACAAAAGCACTTGAAAACACTCACAAGACCTAAACTACAGAAACGGTAGAATTTTAAAAGAGAATGAAAGGAGAAAAAACAAAAAGATCAACCCATTGTCAGATTCTGGACTGTGAAATGAATAGAGAAATTTCTGCTGCGTCATTTCATAGGGCCTCTTGCCAAATGCATTTTGGAAATGTTTAGAAAGTTTGTTCTAAAGAATTCTGGAATTAAAGTGGCATCCAGTTACCAGCACATTGGGTATCTCAGAACAAAGGCTGACATCCATAAATATCCAATGGCACTCATGAAATAATAAATTAAACACTTTTGTGAACCTCCCCCATGCAGAAGAAGCCCTCAAAAATTTTGCCTAACACTACCTGGTGCTCAAAATGACTTTCAGGGCACTGAGAAGTATGTGTACATATATGCACACACACACACATATATATATATATTATATATATATATAATTTTTATATATACCATTTTTGTTTTTACTACTTTGGGGATAGGGACATTTCAATACCCCTTTTCCTTACCTTTTGCTTTCTCAGGGTCCTGTTGTCACCCTAAGCCATTTGCTTATAAGCAGCACAAACTCTCAGCAAAATGATATGAGATACCATTTCCATGCCTGCTTTTCTTTGTCCTTTCTGCAGAAGACATTCGCATGTTTTTAACTTCTCTACTCAAACCTGATGTTCCTAGCTGCATGGTAATTTCCTTGATGGTGCATGGGATGCCATGGTTAT